AACCATTTGCTTTCCATGCTACAGCCTGACCTGCTCATCAGGAAGTTAAGGACTTTTTCCTTGTATTTAACATGATACCGAAATCTCAGGTGAGACTTTGGGTGGTCTCATTACATAAAAGATGCAACAAGAGGGAAGAAGAAGAGTTGAATACTAAAACAGACATTGTGCTTTGAACACTACTGAAAAAATGCACAAGTGGGCTCATCCTCCCTTCAGCAGCGCTCTGCAGCTGCTCTTAAGTTTTTTGAATAACTTTTTGTCGAGTCCTTGGCTTTGTCGGAAGTGCCACACCAGCACACCCTAATGAAGGATATGCACACAGTGGATTTCTCCCCCTGGTAGGGAATGAAGGCAGTTCCCCAGTTATCCAAAGAAATGGAAATTTCCTTCCTTGTGTACCAACAACCCTTGGGCTTTTTTTGTCTACTCAGTACAAGCCTTGGGAGTAGAAACTTCAAGGTGCACTCAGCAAGTGCTATTATTATTAATATTTTTTCTGAAAGTGCTACAGCACATCCTGGAGACGTGGCAGACTCCTGACACCAACCCAACCCCACATGCTACTGCTATCCATGCCCATGCCTACCTGAGGTAGCACCAAGGACACTTGCTGGGAGTGGGTTTAAGGGCTAATAAAGATTAATGCTAAAGGGAGCCACCTGCCCAACATCTTCGCACATCAGAAGAGATGTTAAAAGGCCTTGGAGTCAATCACTGCTAGGGTTTTTTTGGTCACTCTTAACTTAAATGATGCGATTTTGCTGCCTGTTGGATTCCAGGAACTGGAATCTCCATACTGGATCCACACTGCAAAGGCAAATTTGCCAACAGCTCCCTACTCAGCCGAGCATCTGTGAAGCCCGTACGGAAACAAACACAGAGCTGGCCAATTTCTTACGGCATCCCAATTCAGGCTCAACCAAACCCGGTTTTGCTAAAACCGGAGCTCTCGGGCTATCCCTCGCCGTGGTGGCCAAGCCAAGCTGCCCCCCACGGCTCCCTCCTGGCTGCTCTCAGGACGGCGTCTCCCGCTCACTCGGCACACTGCACACACCGTCTGTCAATTTGTCAGGTTTTTTTTGCTAAGTTTTTATTTTAATTCCAAGGACTTTGCTTCATACAAAATGTAATTGTAGAAACAACTGCAGAATTCAAAGTTTGGCTGATAAATATTACTCAGGCAGCAAACTAGGCAATCACAGAACCTTTTTTTCTTTTTTTTTCCCCCTTTTTTTGGGTAAAGTTCCACTTGTGTTGCATGGTTGGAACTTTTATAATTTTTAACACTGTTTTTTTAAATATAAAGTTTTGCAACAAACCCCCAATTTATATCAAATATAATTAAAAATTAACAACTGATGAATACATTGTATCAAAAAAGTACGAAGATAAACATTTTCCATGCACATACTTTTTATATATATGTATATATGTATATATTTTACATGCAAACATTACTTATTCAAAGTACAGCCACTACGAGACTGGTTCTGGATGCAGAAAAACTGATCGGTGCAATTCAAGTTTGGCAACTCACTATGAGGATTCTCGGAAATATCATGTATGCGTTGAAGAGACAGCAGAGAGGCTGTAAAAAAAGGTCAGAAAACGGATTATGGACAATCGTGGTCAGGCTTGTCCATCATGGTCATCGAGCCCTACAAGGCGCGTGGAGGATTGGACAACTGGAGTCTTCATCGTGTTCTGCCTAAGCATTGGAGTGACCCAAGGACATTGTTGAGTTGTGGTAGTGCGGGGCTGGGGGTTTGGGGATCAAAAATGGTCAGGGAAGGGGCAAGGTGGAGTGGGGGAAAAAGACAAAATTATTCAGTACAGAAAGACAGCTCGTTTGCTTTCCAGTGTGGGTACAATGTTTGCATGCATGGTCAGAGAGATTGTGTTTTTCCCTCTCCTTTACTTTCTGGAGTAAAATAGTAATGTTTTCTTTAAAATTTCAAATAAAGTGTTTGTGCCTTCATATACGTAAAATATATAAAACATTTGGTCACAATCATGCTGAAGCCTGAAACAGGAAAATCCAGCAGATAAAGCTACAGAATGGATGAAGGTCTTTCTGACTGTTGGTGGGTTGGATGTGTTTTCGAACGTGTCATCTGGTTGCATAGCCCTCCGTTTGCAAATCACAGCCGTCACCCACGGCAGCCCTCTGGCTACCGCACTTCCTTTATTCAAAGTGCACATAAACACAGAGACAGAGATAGACAGGAGTTATCCTTTAGCAGAATCCAGGGATGAGATCAGTCAGAGATTATTATTTAGAAACAGAACCAAAAAAAAAACCAAACCACAGAAGAAAACGAAAACAGGTTGAATTTCCTCAACAGAAGAGCTACAGGAGATGTAAAGAACCACCCTACAGCAGACTGCTCCCTGCCCGAGGCTGAAAGACTTTTGCTGAGAGCCAAGAGACCTCCTGAGCATTTTGGTAGCATCCCATACCCTCCAATCACCCCAGTGACAAAGTGAATCACTGGAGGCCAGCGGGATCTCTAAGTGATCACCTAGAGAAGTGTCACAGTTCTGGGGCTTGGTAGATCCTCTGAAAAAATTCCTCTATCCAACCCTCTCCTCTTTCCTATCAGCATTTTTAGCGATGCACTCATCTGGCACCTCCCGTCCTTCCTCCCTGAACCCTTTCTCAGGGTACTACGTGTCCTCTGGCCACCTCGTGCCCCAAATTAGCCCTACAAGGGTTCATCAGACCCCCAGACGTGAGGTTCTGCCCGGGCTTTCCTTCAGTGCTCCCTCCCCAGCAGCACAGTGCAGTCGCCCTCTTCCCAGGCTCAAAGTGCAGAAATCCACAGGTGCACAAAAGAAAGAAACCGTCCAACGCAAGAGTCATTGCAAGAACGCAGAAATCTCATCCCTGAGAATCAGAGTTAGAGGTTTTGCTTATTATTATTATTATTTTTTTAACCTTCTCTCAACAGGCAATAAAACCACGACCCTCTCCAAGTGCCCTCACCACAAGCTGTGCCCCGTGGGACACAGCCAAGGCTCCTGCAGCCCAACCGCAACTTGGCGTGAGAGACAACGCCGCGTCTCCTGCAAAAGCATCTCCACAGATGCTCTACTTTTCCACCTGCATCTCTCCCACAGGACCTAAACACCAGTCAACGAAAAAAGGCCGGTTTTGTTTGCTGCAATTGCTCCCCTCCCACCAATAAAAGTATATTTTCAAAAGAAGAAGAAACAGAAAAGGCCAAGCAAACCCAAACCAACCCCAAAGCACGTTTCCCGTCCCCACTGTAAGTTTCCAACCTAGTCCTCGAGTTCGCTGTCCCATCATGCGACACAGGTGCTCTGGGCACCGTGGGGCTGCCCAGGCCAGCGGCTCCTCCCAGCGCTGCCCTCCCTCCCCTCCTGCCCCTCCCCACGGTCTCCCAAGCTCTGATGCATCGAAGCAAGAGGTTGCATCATCGCTGTGAAAGATTTCAAAGGTTAGGCACTTAGTAGTGAACAACTGGAGCATTCGGTAGAAACGGTGGGACCTGGAATGACAATTGGACTAATTTTCTACATAAAGAGTATTTTTTGTCTTTTTTTCTTTTTTCTTTTTTTTTTTTACTGTACAATTTACAAAAATGCACACAATGAAAAGTTAAAGTTCTATCTAATAGCTTGATATAAAACCAATAACATTTCTTCTTCTCACCCCTATGCTTTTTCCTCTTGGTTTTTTTTTTCTGATTTTTTTTTTAGTTGTTTTTTGCTAAATCAAGCTTATATTGTAAACAAGACAAAACAGTGAGGGCGTGTTGCGGTCAACAGGAGAGAGGGACGGAAAGAAAAGTCTCAGCAGCAAGGAAACAGTCCTTACAAAGTAGCTCTCTTGTGGCTTTATCGTGTGTCAGTGTGAAGGACCCGACGTGGTGAGGAAAAGGAAAGAGAGATCCACAGCAGCGGTGGCAGAGCAGAGTCTCGAGCGCGCGGCCGGCTCGGAGATGTGTCACCGACAAGGATCACTGCGGCTGAACATCGAGTCCCACTGGACCGTCCTTTGTTCTGGGCTGTGTTTCTCCTCTCCCAGTTTCGTGGGTAGATCTCTTCCTTCTTAGCGGTGAACGAGATAAAACGCGGATGCGATCTTTTCGTGTGTGTATATGTGTGTGTGTGTGTGTGTGTGCGTCCCCATTTGCAACCCCCGACTCCCACCCTGACCGGGGAGGGGGAAAAAAGAAAAATCTTTAAAAAATTAAGAAATAGCCCAACAAAACCTGTGCCAATCTCGAAAAGGATCGACAGTCTGCTTTTTTCTGCTGTCGGAGGTGAGGACCGGGAGGTGAGGACCGCTCTGCTCTCGGCTTCTTGGATTTGGCATCTGGTGCGTGTCTTTGAACTAGACAAGGCAGTAGGGAGGCAGGCAAGGGGGAGTGAGAGATGTGTTCCCCCCACTGCCCTCCCCCTAAGGAGGGAGCGTTCTTCCTCGATTTGTCTAGTGAAAAAAAAAAAAAGATAAAAACAAAAAGATAAAGAAAGAAAAAGAGAGGAGAGAGGCTGCAGGAGCATCTCCGGCCCCGGG